GGCAGTTCAGAACAGACTCAGAATGATGTATAAAAGTGGGCGAAATTAATCACCTGAAAGTTCCAGTTGGGGAGGAGCCTGTATGTGTCATGACTGAGTTCCATGTATAGTTTTAAGCTCTCTTAGCTGTATATGACTCGAACTTCTGAAAAAGCTGAGTTCGCACGGAAGAGGTTAATGAAAATATACATGCATATACAATATAAATACATAAATGCATACATACATACGTGCATACATACAAAAATGGATGGATTGTGGCGGGAGTTTGCAGGTGATTGTACATAGTAGCAGATAGGCTCGCTGCGCCTGTTTCAGTCGTACCGCGCCCGGCACTATATCACCGTTGATCTGTTTGTGTTCCAGGTGAACAGACGCCGTTGCCAATGCTGATTCAGCTGAGCCTGAAGGTGATTCTGTTCAGCATCAGCTTGGGCAGCAGCAGCTCGGCCGATGATGCACAGGTAAACAAACGCATGGTGCGACGGGACGGCAAATGGCCACACGCCTGCCGACGGTTTAGCTCGACAAAAAAAGATATGAGTGAGAGTTGGTCCATTCCTTGTTTAACTACATGAACAATAAATGACTTTCAGTATATTCACTGAAATTACAGTGCATTGAGCACATAAATGTGCTTGAAATCTGCTGAATATATGCTGTCCTTTCTGCGGCCATGGTGACGCAGCTAGCCAGCAGTCAGTTCGAGGTCGGTACCCATCAAGCATTATCTATGGGATTCAAAGTTGCATGATTATTTGTGTTGTCACGTACCACGTGACGTCAGTTCACGAGATTAGCACTAAACTACAAAGTACATAGGTACCCATCTATCTAAAAAATGTGTATTTTAACATCAGGTGTAAAGCTGCAAGATAAATAAACAATATCGGTTGACCGTGTTTCAAAGAAACAGTGGCGAAAGGTTAGATGGTGTCTTTCACAATACAGCGCAGGACAAAGCACATTCGGTCCACACTGCCATTAGCATTCGAACACAGCATTAGAGCCGACACTTGGCGGATGCTCTCTTATCACCGAAATCCGGCGGAGATTGTGAATTTTTCAGCAACCGACACTAAACCCACTTTGACTGGTCCTGTCAGGCGTAAGTTTTCAAAAGAGCAATCGCAGCGCCCGTGCCCTGACTGGCAAGTGGCCTTCGCCCCTGGGAGTTGAAATAACATAAATTACTCGGTGTGCCACCCACGAGCACTTGCAACTTGCGGTGAAATTGTACAGGTGACATTTACAAAGACAGTCGAGACATAAGCTCCATCGTCTGCCTGTTCCGCAGAAAACGCTATAACCTGTCAGACTGCCAGCTGATTTCTAAAAGCCGGTCCGCCACCGATCAGACGTCAGTCAATTATTATCATTCTCTAAAGGCATTGAGTGTAGAGAACATTTCAATTTCATCACGAAGTTTTATGTTTTAGCATTACAATTAAACATTACCGGCCCTATTGAACAACCGGAAATTAAGTGATTTTATGCAAAACTATCCACGCGCTCCTGAGCTATTCAAACCTCACTTACAAGTTCCAATGATCTTTCCACAATACCGGTACACAATAATCGCGCACGAGTACTACGGCGTCGCTCTTGTAAGCAGAATTAGACAGATGACTATTCCGACCACAGTTCATATAAATACTTCCGACCATGCCATCGCACTGTCTCTGGCGGCGCTGGCTCCCACACCTGCGGGGTCGTTATACGGAGTGAGCACCCGCCCCTGCAGCCCAGCCCACTAATGACACATTCAACTGCATCCATGAATACTCGGATCGCTGAATGCAAATCGCTCCGCATGCATGATTTGTGGCCAATGCTGAGAAAAGTTTTCGCTTCTCAATTAGCGATGTTCATTTCAAGCTGAGCGATTGAAAACTGATGGCTGAAAATAAAGTGCAGGAAAAATAAGTATTTTGCTCTGAAGTCAACTGCTTGTAATATTTGCGGGGTAGTGAAATATACACATACGAAATAAAAATAAATAAATCGAAATCAATAGGGCCCTTACAGCTTTTTAAATATCCTAAGATTAAAAATATGTCTAACGTACATTCTTTTAAGCGACTTCAATGGCAATTATCAATTCAACGAAGTGTAATCGAATTCTGCCCTTCGAGCAAACAGGAATTAGCAATTATTACTCGCAAAACATTTTAATTCAAATGATTTTAAAACCAACGATGCACTTCGGCCACGTGAATGTTTGGCCGCCACCAAGAAACAGAAATATTTGAGTTAAATATCTGTTTTGTGCTTAAAGCATAACTCACCTGATCACTTTCGCACTTTTCTATAACACATTCCAGGACCATCCAAAGACTAGAAAGAAAGTGACTAGCAAGTAGCACAGTACCTTGAGTGAGGCCTGGCAAGTGTACCATCTTGTTCCAAAAGCAGCCACTTTTGACACACCGAGCCTTTCAACCATGCCGACGTTTTGTTCGAAATCGCAACGTTCAATGCCCGTTCTTATATTAGGAACCCCTCCTTTTGTCGCCAGGTTACCGCCGTGCAGCGGTCAGCCGCCGGCCCGGTCGGTTCGACCGTGACCGCTCCTCTAGAGCGGGCACCTCCTCCAGACCCGCTCCCTGGCGACCTGCGCTCGCTGCCGCTGCTGCAGCGCCGGCGACGCCAGGACGTGGTGTTCTGGGCGGCGCGCGGGAAGCGGCCCGTGCCCGTCCACTACTGGGACGTGCCGGTGCGCCGCTGGCTGCCAGCACCGGCCGCCGGTATGACCTCGGCCACGGCGCGCCGTTTCTTCGGGCTGCCCCGCAAGAGGCAGCGAGAGTGGGAGGCGCGCATCGACAACGGCAACGGCAGCCGCCGCATGGCGAGAGAGGGCGTGCCGCAGAGGGAGGCGGCCGCGTCGAAAGTCGACAGAGACGGGCCAGACGGCGACGACCGCAGCAAGAAGGAGTTCTGGGCGTCACGGGGCAAGAAAAGAGGAGGCGGAGGCGGCGAAGGAGGCGGCGGAGACTTTTGGGCATCACGAGGGAAGAAAGACAACGGTAACGCCGACTTTTGGGCGACGCGGGGCAGACGCAGCGATCCAGATGAGACGGGCCGTTCGCCCACACAGCTCCTGAGCAGGCCCGACCAGGGATGGGTCCGCAGAGAGTCCGCTACCGCAACCCGAGGAAGGTGGAGCGAATGATATCCGGCGGGCGAGGACGGCAGAAGAGGCGCGTGGGAGCGGGGGAGACGTCAATGCCAAACAGAACATCAAACGACGCTGCCGAAGATCAAATCGAGCAAGACCATGGCGAAAAACGTCAGAAAAAAGCAAATACTAGTCCCGACGTCTAATATCAACCCGTTTCTCGTAACGCTTCAGGTACTCTAGCGAATACTGAGCATCCCAAGGACAAAACGAACACAAGACAGTTCAGGTGGAACAGGTTAAGCTCTCTGGCGGGCCACTGTGGTTGAGGCTGGCCCAGTGACCCGCCCCCACACCCCTGCCCCGCTGTTCTGTCGAGCCCACGTCCCCAGTCCACGTCGGAAGGCCAAAAAGCAGCCGCACAGTGGTCTGTGAACGCGCGCACGACGAAATATTTGGACGCAACAGTTGGCATGCAGTAATGCTACATTTCAAATAACTTGGGGTTTAGGTCGCCTGCATTGCGGAGATCATTGCAACCCAAAGCTCCCGATGCTCCCTTTAGGTCGCAGACGCGCCTACACGATGAGTGTGATTAAGACAATAACGATACCCCTTCGTCCCGTGGTAGGCTGTTGAGTGATAGGCTAAAGTTACTAACAGCTCCCTTGTCCGGTAGGGTGTTATGTGCAAGGTATATGTTTTGAGATATCAATAAAAGCAATGAATATTGCGGAATATGATTATTGCAGGTGGTGTTATGACAAAAGAACAGAGTTTTATACCTCCGTCATCTGTCCGCTAAAAACCTTCAAACGTAATGAAAAAGAAAAACACGCTTCTTGGTCAGTGTTGGATATATACTATTATCGGTTTTCTCATACATTAGCCGAGGACAATAAATAACCAATCCATAATAAGAAAAAAAAAACATGCAAAGCGACCGAGGCGACACAACAACGGAGGGAACTACCGAACAGTCAATAAAGTCTCACTAACGTAAACCCATCGATAGATGGATCGGATAGCTGACATTGCATAACGCGTACATGGAAAGAGGAACAATCAAAAACCGTCGCAAAGCAAGGCTTCAGTTGATCCGAAGATGAACGAATAGATGCAAATGGACGCCATAGGTACATAAGGCCACAGAGCGAGCGACTGCTATCAATGGATTTAGTTGAACAGCTAGCTTATTTGAAGAAAACGCAATCAAGGGCACCAACAACAAGCGCAGTCTGGTCCAGAAGTGACCGGTTCAAGTCGGGATCAGCGGGGAAGGCAGCTTGTTCAGATTAATCACGAAGGCAAACCGCCGAACGTAACTGAAAAACAACACTGCAAATCAATAACATCTCACCAGAAACTATTTCACGACTGTTTCCCCAGGTTCAACAAGTGTTTTACTTAATGTTGGAAAGTGTTAAGCATACGAAGGGAACTAAGTACCTAAATGGCATTGTGCTCGTCCAGTGCATGCGAATGAACCGAACGCAGCTATTCTAACGTTAATTGGTTGCTAAACTCTGTCGTTCGGCATCATGCTAGTCCTCCAGATGCTCAAAAGATGGAAACACTTTAAGGAAAAATTTCGCTGTAACGATCGTCTCTTCAATCATAAGCGATTGTGAAGTGGGATAATTGTGCGCATTGCTCAAAGAGGCGGACTCGAGGAAACCAACCCCCGTCCCCACACACACACCTGAACCGAAAAGTGTCGCTAGCCGTGCAGGAAAGCACGGGAGGCGATACGAACAACACCCGCCTGCACCTCCCCTTGCAGTGAGCTCAACACTGACTATCTGCGTCGAGTGGGTGGGATGGGCTCTCCGCTCCATTGTCGCGGGGTGGAGATGCGGGGGGGGGGGGGTAAATCGGCAATACGTCGGCGTCTGTCAGCGACGGTGGCCGCTCAGAGTCGGCGCCGACGGCCCGTTTAAAGGCGCGCCGCCGGCCGGCCAATCCGTCAGACGCCGGTCATCTCCGCTGCACGAGCCGACATGGTGTGCGCCTGACCACAGCACGGGGAGCACCGCGCTACCAACGCCGCCACACGCCGCCCAGACGACCGCAGGTGAGACGCGTGATCGACTCAACTCGGGAATTGAGAAAAACACACACATGCAGCATGACAGATCGATCCATCAATCTTCATACACGATCTAAAAATAAAAAATAAAAACTAAAAAATCAGGAACATGCACCATGACTGTGCACATGTTGCTTAACTTAACACAAGCCGAGCCGATATTTCAAGAGCATATCACCAAAATCATAGTCCCGACACTCTGCAGAAAATCATCGATTGGAGGCGGCCGAAAAATACTCACAGTTTCAAACTCGCTCCACTTGAGCTTCGGCCCCGCTTATATTTCAGCGGCTTCACGTCTTAAACAGTTTCGGTCCGACCAAAGCAACAGCCTAGGTAAAATTAAGCAGCTTAGCAACTAAGAAAAGACCGCATTTCTTCAGGACATTTCCTGCAACAAAAAGACAAAAGTAAGAATGTGGCTTTTCACACTCAATTTCGGAGATGTCCAACAACTTTCGGCACATTTTCGTTAGGACATGGTCATCACACTCTGCAGTCTGCATGCAACTATACGTAAACGCGAGCGACACAGATCAGACCACGACAAAAAATGTCCGTTGGGTCCCAACGGAATTTTTTTTATAAGATTGGGCCCCTGTTCGGCTCTCGGAGCTTTGTCATTCGAGCCAAACTGGCAGTGCTCACTGCTCAGTCTTTGAAAAAGTACACGTGACAATGCGAAGGCAGATGATCGCGGTGTCACCATTTGATCAAACAAAACAAAAAAGAGAAGTGTATAAACTGTTAAACAGTTCACTTATATGCAGTTATCAAGATTGATACACTGATCGATCAGCACATGACTGTTCCTTGTAGTGGTAAGATAAATTATGTATGAATAATGAAAGAACGCTAAAAAAATCTACGATGCACCGTACCCTTGAAGTGATGCTTCGTGGTGGTAACCTATATAAAAAAGCATAATGGGTATAGCATAAGCTGGACAAACAGGTTAGCTCGCAATTAACGTTTGTCAGAAATTATTATTGAATACCTCTATCTCGTCTTTCAAATCACATCGTTCCGGTGAATATCGTCTCTTGGGTTATCATTCTAGTCGTACAGGCAAATGGCATGACCTTATCATAAGCATTTAAACGGCAACATCAGCCATTAGACGATGAAGTCGAAGCATGCACTCCATAGCTCCAGAGACTAGACGGGAGACGCCTGTGGCAAAAAAGTTGCGGGATCGAGATGCATCACATCGACCATGACATCCCCATAAGGGTTCAGTGATCCATTAACGTCGTAGGTGGTCCGCAGCTGGTACACTTCGGTTCGTATCCGTGACTGAACGCCAGACAGGCTAGCTTGCGTGGTAGGTAAACGTCCAGCAGATCATGTGCAGAGCAACAGAGCTGCCTGCTATCGGTGTAGCCAGGACAAACGGCGCTGTCACCGCAAAGCGCTCTCTTCAGTGGTTGCTAACCAACAGGTGCGCCCCAAGAAGCCGAAATGGCATGGAGTCAGTAGGGGTAGTCATTCGCATTGAAAGGGTGAGCGAAAAGGATCTTTTTTTACATGCAACCGACCAAAGTTGATGACGATCACGTATCATATTCGAGTTGAAATGAACATTACAGGCACACGTCCATCAAAGTTTTTCTCAAGAAGTTTGGCAGGCGCACGTATGGGGGGAGGCGGAAAATACATAGTTCATTTCCTAAATGATTCGTGGGGCGACTCGGGCCAACGCACGAGATGCATAAATTCAGTGCGTTTTGCCAGAGCTCTTTCACAGAAATCACAGAGCTATCATAAGGTCAAACACCAATGGAATAATATTGCATTCAGCGCGTACCATATGCATGGCATGTGCCGCATGGTGGAATACCAAGAAATAACGTGCGGAAAATATCAACGTGTGGCTAACACATCGCCAATGGTCCACTTAGCTGTGATTAACCCGGCAGTTGCTGGGGTATTTCGCCACCCACCGTTTGCTGGGGGGGGGGGCGTTAAACGCCCCCAGCCGATAACTCGAGAACCAATAGGCGCAGCGAAACGCACGAGGCGGCAAACGAAAGAGCGCGACGAGACGCTTCAGATGAGTACTTTAAAGTTGAATTTTGAGGTCACAGGTCGGGTCAAGGTCAGGTCAAACACCTGAAATCGGGCTTTCAGTAGCATGGACTTCAGGGCTTCGCAATGGGCGCCTCTCGCCATAAACTCTGTCAAAACGGTGCACAATCCATCTTATAAGGCCTACAAGAGTGTCAGCTCCATATAGGGGTCAGTCAAGCATAGGTCAGGGTCGAGGTCAGGTCAACCGGGTAGGCACATATCCCCGAAAATCAAAACTGATATTCGCAGCCTGTGACACATGTTTTATAGGTAATTTGGGGCGTAGAACACGATGGTGACATTCATTTTATCATATGTGTACGTGTTTGACTCAAAAAGTTCAATTTAAGAAATTCATGTATCATGGTCGTGAAGTAGTCACGAAAAATTGCCAAGATTCAGTTCAAGATTTTGGAAAATGCGGAACGATAATCAATAATCGAAGATGGCCATTTGATTGACCATGGTATTGGCAGTCTAATGGCGTTTACGGCATGTCTGTATGTCTATTCTGTGATTTTATATGATTTTTTGAACATATGCCGTTTTTGGTCGAAAACTCAGAAATCATGACGTCACTAAAACCTCGATATCTCAAAAATTTTCAGACCGATTTTTTTGAAACTTTGTCACAATAAACTTCAATCAATTCCCTACAGGTACCCAAAATTTGGCGCGCCTGCGGCGCGCCGTTTTTATGCTATGGCCCGGCGAAAAAAGTGGGGGCGTTTAACGCCCCCCCCCAGCAACTCGCGGGTTAATCCCCGAAAAGACTGACACCAATCAAATCGGAAACATGTAAAAGGTAGTAAGTCAATTAAAGATCAATTGGGTTACGCGGTACGCCTCTCCGTCTGATAATAACAAATAAATGACACATATCTTCGAGAGGTATGGGAGGCCTGATGGACGGCGAAGGCACAATGCACAACAAAATATCGCTCCCTTTTCATCACTATTCAGCTTAACGATTCACTATGCTAGTGACAGGTTTAGACATTATTGCTAAAACGGCATTCCAATTCATATCATAATCGTAATAATAGACCTCTGTATACTGGGTTATACAGAGGGTCATGTCGCAATTCATTCCAAAGTTGCATTTAAATTGTGTAAAATGGAAGCATCACAAAATTAGCAGGCGCAGGTACATATCTATCCATGCGCTGAGCACACACCGCCAGCCATGTGGAGAAGAACGCGATATTCCGCGCTGTGTCAACGCCCACATGGGTGTTCAGACAGTCGTGTTTTCATTTGAGGCACAATCGATGTGTGGTGAGAACCCTTGAGCAGCCGGTTCCGGAAAGGCACGGACCGAATACCGACAGTGCATCACAGGGCGGGAGATTATCGATGCTGAAATCCTATGCCTGCTCTTTCGGACGGTCATTGATGATATGCGGTGAGAAAGTTGAGGGCTGAGCTATATGCAGTTTAGCATTTCAATAAAACTGGTTACAAATGAACCATGCAGTTGCGCAGCGAATGCGAATTTCTTCGAAAATTCTTCGAAACAATGGGTAGGTATGAATGATAAGGAAATTGGCATAAATTCTCAACGCAGATGCGACTCAATAAAGACCTGGTGAATCAGCAGGTAAGATCTAAGATCTTTCATTCAACAGGTACTATATCTCGTAAGGCCCGGTAAACATTTCATGCCCAAATTGGAAGGCATTCACAATGCATGGTCATTGGCCAAAAACGATTCAAGAGAGCAAAAGGTGAAAGAAGCACATGAGACAACACAAGCGTCGAGAGCCCGACCCAGGACCAGTTAATTGGCATGAGACTGGCGTATAACCATAGGTAGGGCTTGTGGAAAATACTAACGACGATAAGCATGTAGCGTTGAATTATGAAGTCGGGAAAATATGAGTTGCTAATATACTTATAAGTGCGCTCCTCTCATAAACTCCTGGCATTCAAGACATTTCTCACCTCACAAGTCTTTCTATAAAACGATCTCACGGCGAAAAATGGACAAAAACTCCGATGGTGAATAAAGCAGAGTAACAAGAAAGCAGGTGGATAAAGCATAAATAAGGTGGCACATCTCCTGGCTTACACGTCAGGAGATAAATCTGAGAGATGGCCAGTTAGGATATCTTCTTGGCGGCGCTCGGCCATTTATTTCAATGGAGCTGTCGGTTTCACCGTCCATGGAAGCGGGAGGTTGGAGTTTCAGCTGACGGACCAGCCGTCATGTGCCCTCGCACACTTCGACGAGCGATTTCGCGACAAGTTTGGTCCAGGAGGTATAATGCAATAAATTGCTTACCTAGCAGCAGCGTGCAAGTGTGGCATTTTAAAAGGAAAGAAACGGAAGAACTCAACAATGAAGAAATTGAAAATTTGTCCTTGAATTAGCGATATCATAAAAGCATCACCGGGAGCGCCGTGAGCGTTCACTGCAGATCCGCAGCGGCCTTTGATTTTGACGTATAGCGGCAATCACACGTCCGGCCGGCAGGGGCTCTCCCGTGCCGCCCACCACTGAGGAGTGCCTCAGGCGCGGCGCTGTCACCGACACTAGGTCGACTCCGATTGATCAAAAGAGCAGATGGAATCCGCAAGCCTCTCAGTCGGACAGACAAATTTCCTTTCGCCCACCGATTGTAAGCGCGGAGAATGTAGAATGCCGTCGATACAGATGCATTTTCTCGCGATTTCATTCAACACGACAGGTCAAATGGACTCGGTCGGGCGCAGAGGCACCGCTGTCCATTTGCACAGTTCTCACCTCCCTGTCAACAGTAGTGATTTCCAAGTTTCGGAAGTTAATTATATGTTGATAAATAGAGGTGAAAATAAGGAAGAAACATCTATTTATCTGCGCTTCACAAATATCATAACTGAACTAACTGAATGAAACAACCAAACAAGGCTGTTATAACTACCTACTGCATTGCATCCGTAGCTCAGTCAACTTCGTTCAACCACGTCGTTAACCTCAAAAGTCGCCATCAAAATTAATCAGGGCATTAAACACAACCACCGCCACTTACTATGTACGTACATCATTACATGCGGCCGATAATACCTTCACCAGTGTGTGATCCGTCCGACATCTCCCACCCCTGTCGTATGTATCCGTGTCCCTGTGTCGCCGTTACTCGCCCCTGGGCCGCCATCTGACCGCCGCCGTGTGCCGGCAGAGATGCTGCTGACGTGGCTGACCTGGTCTGCTCTGCTGGCCGCCGCCGCCGCCGCCGCGGACGCCACACCGGAGGAGCTGCTGCTGCTCGAGTCACAAGATTCGGTGCTGCCGCACCGGCTGATGCAGCTTCTCACCGAGACCGGGCAGCTGCAGCAGCGCCAGCGCCGCCTCCGGCAGTCGGTCGGCTTCAAACCCTGGTCGGGTAAGCGGTCCGGGCCGGTCGGCGTGGTCGCCGACGAGCCGACCAGCGGAGAGCTCACGGACCGGCTCGACGACTGGCAGGACAAGCGGGCCAACTTCAAGCCCTGGACTGGCAAACGCAGCGGCTTCAAGCCGTGGACCGGCAAGAGAAACGTGTTCAAACCGTGGACGGGGAAGCGAGGAAGTTTCAAACCATGGACGGGAAAGCGGGAAAGCTTCAAGCCTTGGACAGGCAAGAGGGAGAGTTTTAAGCCCTGGACAGGCAAGCGGGGAAGTTTCAAACCCTGGACGGGCAAGCGAGATGGGCCCGAAACCTGGACGTATAAGCCATCTGAAGTTGACTGCCCTGAAGACGAATCGGTAGAAAAAGACGTGCCTGATAATGATCTTGTCGATATGCTACACGAAGTGGAAGACTATGCCAAGAGGATCGCTGCTCGCAGCAGCGTTCCTTCCAAAGGCCAGGTGCGGCACATAGTTCGACAACGCTTCAAGCCGTGGTCGGGCAAACGTTCCGCGCAAGCTGAGGACGGAACGATTAAAACCGACGACGATATCCAGTTCTGACCGATGATGTGGTGCTTCGGGCAAGGGTTCTCAGGACGCTAGCTAGAGTTTGGTACGACATGGCCAGATGAGTGATGTTTTATCCCATCAGTCATACTAGCACCCAATCAGACAGAAATGACCAACATTTGGCCAGTGCCAGCCTATGCTTGGGAAAATCAGTCAGGAATTGGGCAAAATGACCCTAAGAATGACAAAAAAAAACACTATAGAACTGTAGGAAGAATTCAACAAAATACCAAAATCAAAGCTTCAGCATAATCGAACATTGCTGGACAAAGCTGCCCGTTGAGCACAAAAGATGGTGCGGCGACAACCGCCCTACGCTGTCATCCGCAGGGACAGTGACAACGGAGGCCCAGAGGCTGGACTGGCCTCCAGTCGTCCACTGCCCAGAGTTTTACAACTTAACAGCGGTGCTGTAGCTACAACAGCGGTGCTGTAGCTAGCTGTACAACAAACAGTCCTGAACCTGGCCAAGTTCACTTGCCACATTACCGTGCTTATTGGAACTGTTTAACAGAAGCACCACCCAAAATGAGATTGTTATGTAATGTGTAAAAGGTGCAGTGCTCCAACTGTGAAGTCTGCTGCACTATCATGTAGGCTGAGTACCCTGTCACATGTGGGACTGTATTGTATAATACTTATTGAATGTGAGATAAATGACATAATAAACTAAAATGAAATCAAACTAAATCAGATTGTGACAAACCACCAAACAGGGAAGTGTCCAATGAGGCTTGGCGGATGGTCGATTACAGAATGATATGTACTAATGTGAATGGGAGAATCGACACGATAAGTCAAGTTCTTTTCAAACACAGAATATGAAAAGTTTTACATTCTTTGTAGGTAGATACCTACCTACCTAAATAAGCAGTTCGCCTATCAGGTGTGTGCATGCATTAAAAAGCTGATGATTACAGGTACACGGGTGGTACAGACAGATGGATGCACCAGGTGAACAACGCCCCTGGCCAACCAACAGACTACAAAAGAGGGAAAGTAATTTTAACGAGATCTCTTCAGTGCAGACGCTCTGCCAGTACGCAGTGCGGTGTGGTGCAGATTTACTGTGGTATGGTTCAGGGGGTATATACCGCCTTGGTTCAGACTTAAGAGTTGCACTATCGCACTATCCATTGAAATCAATATTGGAGCTGAAGCCAAGATCAAGATTGCTGAAGCAAGGCAAATTGAAATGGTGCTTTAGTACCTAAGAACTAGGTAGTAGGTACGAATATGAACTTAACAAACACAAATTCAGTAAGGTATAAAGGAAAAAATATTCTACATTTACCATTCTTCCATAAGCCCAGACAGGTGATTTGACGGGAAACGTACCCTCGGATTACTTTTCTGCCCCCATGTTTTCACTCTCATTTGCATTGGTTTCAGTTTGAGGGTTTTTTGATGTTTTTCGGCTTGCTTGTTTTGCGTCCTAAATGTCGCTTTTGCGCAACTAGTAAAAAGCACACCAGAGTCAAATTCGAAAATATGTTCCACACCTTTTTTGAAATGGCCCGATCACAACTTGTACACAACCCCGCGCTTCGAAACTGTCCAAATGATGACAATCTGGGTATTCTTATCACGAACTGCAATATCAATATATGATGAATCAAATATTGTTTGAATTGAGTCACTATATGGAACATATATGGAACATTGAGTTCATCTATATGGAATATAGATGAAGCCAAGCGGTCCGACAACTCTCGGGAATTTCAAACGAGTCAATACTGTGAACCAACTGTGAACTATCCACTATTCAACCACGTAACGTTAGGTTCTCTTCGTTTATCTTGTTTCTAAGAAATGATGCTATTTCATGCATCAAATTGCGGAAATACAGTGCAACTTGCCAGCTGCAATGTTGGTGTAGTTAAACGTCAGTTGTATGTAGGTACGTACGATTGTATCAGACCCTGGTTAGTTACCGTCTAACATAGTGCCCAATTGAAGACCAATGTGCATAAAAGTCTAGTCTCAATGCATTCCGTTTGATCATGTTCAACAGATGCATCTGAACTTCTTCAGATCACATCAACAGTTGACAGTTGATATCGAATGCACCGACCGTTGTCAACGTACCGTCAAACCCCGAACTCCGCTACCTCACTTCCCGATTCAATCACTGAGCTTTTGGTGACCGCAAACTCGACAAAACAACCTCTTCAAATTCTCACTGCAATAACAACTCTGTTAGCCTGTTGTTTGCGAGTTTGAAAATTGAATAAAAGTAACTAAAAGCACAGCTTTTCACCGTCTGGCAATACTAAATCGTTCGCAAAATTCTTATGAAATCAGTCTTCGATCTCAGCATTTAAACGGTTTTACCGAACGAACATTGACATATTTTATTGACATTAGAGCATTATAGTCGCTGGTATCAAGCATGGCAGGATTGACGAATGACCTACAATAGTTCGAAACATCATAATCCTTCACTGCTGCAACACTCTACACATAAAAACATCAAATATTCACGTTTCATGTGGCACTTCTCATTCACGTAATCTCCCATAATCCACCGAATCAATCGCACCCAGCAGTTCCGCACCCCTGTCAGACATCGAATCGTGTCAGCCTCGAACGGTCGTTCTCCTGCGCTGGCTATGTCGGCTCTCAGTCTCCGACGGCCGTGAGACCGCCTCAACTGGACACACAGCTTCATTCAAACCAGGGACGATGTCGATGTTTTCGTGTTAAGGGTTGTGGTAGGCGTTAGTCATCGGTGTCCATACTTCAACCAGAGGCCCGATCACTGATCAATGAACAATCGTGATCACTGATCAATGAACAATTAGATGTGTGACATGAGAGCTGCGACAGTCAATCAGAGATTTACGTCATCAATGAAAATATAGTGACACCAGACCAGAGCCACCCGGTAGCATTTGGACGGAGATCACCACATTCAGATGGCCACAGAACGGTATCTTCGGCGCCTACCGAGCCTACCAAGCAGAACGCAGTGCCCCTGTGGTACTGGTGTCGAGGGGTCACCAGATCACATGACCCGCAGGGCATTCGAGGGCCAAGCCGGGTCAGAATTGATATCGCTGAGCGTCACAGGTGGCCGCTGAATACGTCACCGGGTGTCCCGACTGGGCGTCACCTGACAGCTTTATGACGTCACCTGACAGCGACGCGGCGCTACCAGTTGTAGAGTTTGAGTTCTCCCTGAGGCGGCGGTACCCGACCCGTGGTGACGATACGCTGCAGTTGCTGCTCCAGGCGCACCACGGGGCCGCCACAGCCGGACGGCGTCACCTGGGGAGGTCAGGGGTCACGGGGTCACCGTAGGTCACAGATCATCGTAGGTCAGAGGTCACGGGGCTATCGGAGGTCAGGTGTCACCAGTTACAGGGGTTGTGTGGGAGCTAATATGGGTTCCGGTGTTAAGAGATAAAAAAGTCAGAGGTTAGCGTGGTCATCTGAAGAGGTCAAAGGTCATTGCAGGCGTTTGGATATAGGAACAGGAGTAACGGGTACCTACTAACTACCTTCCTACCTACAAATACAGCGGAGGTCAGGGTAGCCTTAGCGGAGGAGGCTATGTTACTCAGTCTCCTTGTATGCTGTAAGGCTACCACACACGGCGCCTCTGCGTATCCCGGCGCCCACTCTGGATCTCGGTAACGCGCCGGCTGGGTACATTGGGCAGCCCCACTCCCAGTGCGCCAATGGCATTAGACGGCTTTAACAACGTCTGCATATTTTCCACACTCGCAATATAGCGTTCCGTGAATCGTGGGCGCGGAATGTGTGGGGGCGAAATAGCGGCTGCGTGGGGTCGGAAAATAAATCAATTTTTTGACGGAACTTATAAATAAATTCACGCGATAAAGGAATGTCATTAACGTTCATTGTTATGGTCTGGCCTAAGCTCACATACACCAGCTGGTCTTCGGAGTAAGGATAGGTGCGCTAGGAGGCCTTTCACACATCAGTCTACGACAGCACATGTGACGAACAATAAATCATAGCATACGACCTTGCTACATCATAGCATCCGACATCGGTTTCACGAAATAGTATACAAAACACATAACCTCAACTAAAGCAGTCCTTCGTAGATTCACGTGAAGAATGTCTCGCATTTTAACTCAAACCTCCCAACCCTCATACCACCTCATAACCAAACCACATCAAGCCACACAAAACTTATCAACGATACCCCAATTTCACCTCCCCACTCGAAAACAGCTCAACAATTCATGCTCGGTCCCCACACCTATCTCACCTGCTGAACGCGCGCCAGGTACTGTGTCCGAAGCAGCTTCACCAGTTTGACGAACTGCGTGCCGTAGGCGGCGGAGAGCGTGGACCCTCCCACCTCGAGGGCGTCGTACAGAATCGAGGCGGTCACGTCGGCTCGCGGCTCTGTCCAGGGAGGGGGGGAAGGGGTGTTATAGTGTAGAACACGCAGCGAAGGGTGGGTGTAGGGGTAGGTGAGATCGGGATGCAGACAGATGAACGTCGAAATGACTAATAGTGCTCGACTCGTTTGTTGGTATGATCTTCCTGTGCTTCAGATTGAGTTTCGAATGGTGCTCATCGCTTGCGTCCATGATTGAACACTGAAGGCGTAAGATAGCCTAAGAAGAGATTACCTTTTCGGTGAACATCAGACTAAGGGGATCTAGACCCTGTGACATTTGCTAAAAAAAAGGTGCAAGCAAACAAAACAAACAAGTAGGTGCATACATACCAAGCAATGAACACAATATTTCGGATATCTGCGTATCAAAAATATCACTAAAATCAGCCGACTGATGAAAGCACGTTGATGCCTAATCATGAACAAAGCCGAGCTAAAGCGAAAAAATATAAAACAATCCATTAAAGATAATGCGTCCATAAGGATAATAATATGTGGCAACTGGCAATAAGCTACAAACATCGAGTGGCTTCAGAGTCAATCAGCGTTCAGTGCCGCGCGCCAAATCCCTGTCCTGGGGGTCGATCCGGGCCTCGGCCACCGGCCGGTACCGATTTCTTCCCCAGGCTCAGGCTGTCTATTCAGCTGTCTTTGCGGCTTAGTCGCAGTGCTGTCCATCATGGAAATCGGACCGCCCACCTGAGGCCGCGATCAGGCTTACCGCGGTGACTGTACCGGCAAGAAGCGGTGGCCCCCTGGGCAGTGGGCCCTGAGCAGGATTAGTTCCAGCCAGTAGGCGGACGGGTAAGTGGGGGCGAGGGGACAACGGAAACTAACCCCAAGACCTACCCACGACAGAACCTTGTCGGTGGAGAAAAAAAAGGACCTCAAGCAAAACCTCACAACAGTCATCTTTCATATCCGCCCTGTCCGAATACCACTGCACAGTTGACGATTTGTGTTTAACCACCAGAAAATCAAAACTCACCCAGGTTCACGGTGGCCGCTAGCCACCGCCACAAATGTTTTACTCCGAGTGGCCGGGCCGGTGCCGCGCCGGGGGGCGGGGCGGGCGTCTGCTGCGGCGGTCGAGCGATCAGCAGCGCCACGTATAGCCGCGCTATGCCCGACATCCGCTTCAAAAACTTGTCCTGTTTCTCCACCACGCCGTCCACGTAGTCGTAGCCGAGTTTCCTATAAAACGGTCCGTGAGAACGTGACTGGTGGGGAGAGGTCCCGACGGGCGGGCGCGGAGGAAGGGCGCCGTCAAGAATAGTGACCGATCGTACGAAAGGTCAAGGCGGAATCATGGTTCATATGAATTTGGTAAGATGATTAGATGTCAGCATTCAGTTGGATGGTAGCTTATTCGGGAGGTTTCAGATTACATCGAGACGGAATAAATCCACGAATCATCTGCAAGTTCTGGTTTGTGTTGTGAAAAATGCGTCAGGTTCATGGGAAAAGAGCCAGCGATACCACACCATATTCACAGGTATAACTCTTACAGCCAGTATCATGTGGTAATACTCGGCGATAGTGCTGCAGTACTGTGTGGTACTGACCGGTTCAACATGCGCGGTACCGAGAGGTACAGGTCTCGCGGGTTTTAGCGGTAGGTTTTGCCCCGATGAAATTTAGTAAATTTCAGGCTATGTCTTCTTCGTCTAAAGCTTTTAAGGGTTGACGATGCGATCGATTTATTCGTTCACATGTCTGCTATGATCCTCTAAAATCGCTTCATCGTATATCGATTAGTTTCTGAGATGTGGCCGGACAAAAGGCAAAACCTACCACTTAAACCCGCGCGGAGAGCCGTACTTTTCTGTGGGACTGCAGTTATATCGTTAGGGGATCATTGGTTATACACTAGAGTATCAGATGGACTCATCGGACGGTACCAGTTGTACATACTTACTCACTGGGACTACTGCGGCACAAGTAGTACTCACCGGTAGTACTGTTCGTTGGTGTCCCCGTCCAGCTGCTGTGGGTACATCGGTACCAGGTACGGACAGCGCGCCTGGCAGTGGGCCACTGTCAGCTCGGTCAGCTGCGGGAACTCCAACTGTAGCGCCAGCAGCACCGCGGCCAGCGCGAACGCCGCCTCCGGCTTACTGGACACCACGTCCTCTCCCTGACGCTGAAACACGGAGGGTCGAATAGCAGGTCAGAGAGGAACCGAAACACATACCAGGTCAGAGTAGGGCCTGACAAAATCCGGAGCTGAAACATAGGGTCACGCAGCAGTTCAGACAAGGTCTCTCTGACGCTGAAACACGGAGGTCAAACACCAGGTTAAAGAGGCGCTGAAACACGGGGGTCACATACCAGATCACTCTGAAACAAGGGGTCACATACCAGGTCAAAGAGGGGCCTCCCTGGTGATCAAACGTAGCGTCACATTCCAGGTCAGAGTGGGTCTCTGTGGCCCTGAAACACGGAGGTTACACACCTGAGTAGAGAGACGCAGCTAGACACTTCTCTGACCGCGTGCCTTGCGTGGCGATCGTTGGATAAGGAGCAACGGCAGTAAATCTGGTAAAAGGCACTGAAAGGACGGCACCAGGCAGATGCAACACCTACTATACTCGTAGAGTCCGGTTGGTGCGTGGTAGTGGCCGGGCAGCACTGCAAGAGTTATGACACCCGCTTGAACGACAGTTTGCTACCATTTTGAAATAGATCCAGCAAATAGCAAAATACTTCAGTTAACTTGCGTATATGGTTTGATATTCCGTGTATCAATTATACGGAATATCTAAATATGAAAGAATATGAAGACTTATTGTATTTCACAAAATGAAAATGTCCACAGCTTTCAAGCTTGATAACACTGCAAACATAGATTATCAGCTGCAGCTCAATCGAAAATATAATGAAATGGAGCTCAATCGCCAACGCGGGGCCTGCAAAAACCAGGCGGTCAGCGATAAAAATCTAGTGGAGCAGATCAAGACAACGTTGCTGCGGATGACCACCGACCAGCCCGGGGGCAATGGGGATAATACAACTGCGACCGCCTCCAACGCAAGCCGCTTTAGAACCGTATTGATGCTCTCCGTCGATTATATGATTGACCTCCTCAGCTAAAGTCGTATTTCAGCCATTTCAGCGCTTCGCGATGAAAAAAGAAGCGAGAAGCCTTACATTACCAGGAAAGAGAGGTGCATCGGATTACTATCAATCAGCGCTCAGTGCAATGCGTCGTACCAATTAAATTGCACTACCGATTCAGCTTTGCGATACCTAATTCATTTACTGTATGCCTGGCCTATTCAAATACATTAGCCAGAGGGGTGTGGTAATAACTGGTGTAAGCAAATTGACCACGGTCAAAAATGCATTACCAGAATGCACTTAAGCCAACATTTTGGGATGGTCTCGTTCCTAAGTCGGCTAAGAGCTTCGGTCCAGAAAATAAATTTATCGTTGGCATACAGTAAAATACATACCAAACTCGGCCGGTGATAAATTTTCAAGACCTCAGTCCTTACTGATTTTTGAACTCGGCCTTCGGCCTCGTTCAAAAATCCAGTAAGGACCTCGGTCTTGAAAATTTATTTACACCGGCCTCGTTCAGTATTATATATTACCAGCCAATGTCGTGCGTCAAACTTCATAAACTTTGATTAATTGCTCGACGCCCTAGGGAGAAACTTGTTGCGATTCCACTCATTCGTAGGGAATCATAATTGGCATTTTATTTAATTCCTTAAACAAACACAAAGCCAAAGGATGGACGAAATAAGACGGAGAAGATATAACGGCAAGTGCCATTAGCCGACGCACACAAACTGTTTTCGATGAAACGTCGCCAACCAGCTACTCACACCCGGATAAAAAAAAACGCGTCAAGTCCGCGAGAAAGCTTAACTATAGGTTTGAGGAAAAAAACTAAGCATACGTACGTTTGCACAATAGAGTATACACAATAGAGGTAACTACTAAAAAGGCTAGAAATCGAGTACACTTTTTCGATAAAGTAATTAGTAGCATAATGCATAAATAGCTATAAAGTAGAGTATATCGTACCGTCAAAAAGTATGTAGTACTTTCCAGGTGCGTTGTTCGGGAGCCTTTATACGCATTTACCAAAAACATATAAAGAGGACCGTCGCACCAAACTAAAAAACATCTACCTCAATTCACGCTATTGCCATGGACTGAATAACTGGTTACGATATTCATTATAGGAAAAACAGGCAAATTAATGCATAATCGACCATTTGATAACACATTTCATCCCCTCGTCGAGTGAGAACAGCTAACCTCATTCTGGTAAAGTTTCTCACTAAGAACTAAATAAAACCATTCGCACATGTTACGAACACACTCCCAGAAATAACGCAACTAACTCTGAAACCACAAACGCAGCCTAGTTACCTCCTTGGATAACTGAGGGTTACGGGCGCGTCGAATACAGGCTATTTACGCTTAGACCCACGACGCACGGTCACACCTTGCGGCACAGCACACAATATCTACTCACCACAAACTTCTTGGCGACCAGGTCGAGACAGAAGGCGACTCCGTTGGGGTGCGAGGCGGCGCTGACCTGACCTCCGGCCACGGCCACCGGCTGGCCCCTCAGCAGCTGACGCAGCTTGTCCAGCTTGTCCCGCAGGTGGGCCGTCGATACCGGAGAGATGGCGTTTATCGGCGTGTTCACCGCTTTCTGGGGGACGAGGAGGGGTTATATGAGTGTGGACGAAAGGCATCAAGACAGACATGGATCATTATCATAAAAGGAAGAAGCAAAGAATGCTGCGTTGTGTGCGAAGTTCAAAATATCTGGGTATTATAAACGGATGGAGGTTGGATGATGATATGAATAGCTAGGTGTGATTCCATGGCCAGTTAGTAAAGCACCGCACCGTTTTGCGCACATGAGGGCCTGGTATTGTTACTGGGGTTTGACGAAGGTGAGCTACTACAAGATTGTGAGATACTTCCATGCTGGCCTTTAGCGCCGATGCCTCACCCTGTATCTGTGGCGATATTAGAACACGAAAGTGCACATATTTACAGATTGAATGAAATCCAAGAACTATTCTCCACATAGCAGCCAGCCTGCTGAAACGCAAGCCGCAGTCTCACATCCAGCCATGCCCAATGCCCATGGATATATGTACCCACGTCCGGACAGGTCGGTTTCAGCACACACCATACGGAGTGAGCAAATCGCATGTAGCGTGCGTGCATGGAAACTTCCGTCAGTTCCTGATAAATGACCTCGGGCTAGTCTCCAGAAGACACGGCGACCGAGAGGAGAGAGCGAGAGAGTTGGAGGAGAGAGCGAGAGAGCTGTCCCACTCGTCAAACTTCTTCGATACGCTCCACGAGTCCGTACCCGTGTAGCATCCGTGAATTTAAAGTGGCCAGTGTGGGTGACCCTTTCGGACTGTGACAGTCCGAGTGTGTGACCTGAGATAATGGTCTGCCGGGGACGGAACTGTGGCCAAAGCGGACGGTCCAACACACCCACACACGCACACGAGCACACACAAGCGCTTACAAATACACACACACACAACTTCTCACGGCAGAGTTTCGGCCGGCCGCCTGATTGGTGGCGAATTCGGACTAACTAGCCCACTGTTCGCCCGTGGGATCGCGCAATGTGGCAATCGTGCTCCAATGCGCCAGCCTCGCGTCTGCGTTTGTCGATCGTTCTTCGTTTTAGGCAAATACACTGAGGCTATGAAAGAATCTTAATCGAGAAATACGATTCAAATATAGCGTTGCGTATATTCAGAGAAGAATCAAAATTCAAAAGTCTTCAAACTTATCTGTGATGTGAGAAATAAGTAGCATGCCTTTAAGTTATAACTATCAAATGTAGTCGATTCATTTTAAACTCAACCTGAACTAACATTCACGCTGCAGCAGATATCCAGTCAAAATACCCTCGCCTGAACTGCCCATAACATCGATATCAAACTATTTAGTTTTCAAACAATTGGGTCCGTGTGCGTTGAATTCGACTTTGGCGAATGGGGCTGCGTGCACATTCTACAGAACAAGTCTCAGAACTAATGGTTGTCCTCCAAAGTAATGAGAAAAAAAACACACGTACATTCAATAAGCAAGGACACCTCAATTCAGTTACGCTTGAATAGCTGGATATCGCTTGAATCGCTGGATACCAACGCCATAGGGCAAACATAGCAAAACCGCATGCCCATTGCACATTACAACATACCTGGCAATCAAACTTGAACTTTTTGAGCGCCGGGTCTGCCAGGAGGCTGGCGAACTGAGCGCGGAACTCTGCCGCCTTCTGCTGCACCTGTTCGTAGCGAGTGCTGTCCTCCGGCAGCACGGCGTCACCCAGCTGGCCGGGGCCTGTGCGACAGACAGGGTCGGTCAGAGCCGAGACCGGGCAGCTCGGGGCTCAACGGTGTGGTAGTGAGGATCCGCGCTACGGCAGTGATCTAATCGTAAGAAACCGAGGAGGGGCGTTACATCCTTAGTTACTCTGCCTACTGGGCTATATGCTTATATAGCGACAAACCGCAGCTCACCTGTGCTCGGTTGTACGGCCACCGGGGCGGCTGCGGGCTGTGCAGCGGCCGCCGCAGTTGCCGCTGCGGTCGCCGCCGCCGCTGCCGCCGCCTTGGCGTCCTTGGCAGCCTGAGCGGCGGCGTTGATCTCATCTGTGGAGCCAGAAAGGTGGTGTCAGGTTGTGGCGGCCGGTGATCAGACGCACGCTCAGCGAGGAGACAGTGTTTTTCACAGGAGTGTGACCGAGATGGGGATAGCTTCTACACTTTTACATAGTTTAAATCAAGAGCACCATATTTTCATTATTGGAATTGACATACAACACAATTAATAACGACGAAACAAATACTAATTAAGGTCAAGCAAGAAAAAAATATATCATAACAATGGAAGCAAGCACGCTATAAAGCCCTCACTTCATCCAAAACCAAACACAGCTGACAGTAGATGCAGAAAGAAATCACGTCTGACCCTAGCTCACACCGGGTACCCGTCCCCATGATGCCCTCTCACTCCCTCATATCATATCATCCACACCCATCCAGCACTGACCGACAACAGCGGTGATCTTCCGTGCCAGCTCGGTGGCCTCCGTGACCGCCCGCTCTGCCTCGGGTACATCGAGCTCGGCCGGCGGGGCGGTCGACAGCCGGTCCATGGCGGAGAGCAGCTGCTTTAGTCGCTCCACCTGACCGGCCGCCGGTCCGTCCTGCAGCCGAGAGATGTCCGCGCAGCCCCTGAAACCGGCGGGGCAGGGGAGATGTCAGCGGGGAGGGGGGGGGGGGGGGGTTACGCCGTGCGGGGAGGGAAGGTTACTCGGCACCTGAAACCGGCGGGGCAGGGGAGATGTCAGCGGGAAGGGGAGATTACCCCATGCCGCTCAGCCCCTGAAACCGGTGCAAGGGGGGGGAGTCAACTGGGAGTTACACCCTATCGCACAGCGACTAAAACCGGCGCGGCAGGGGAGATGTCAGTGGGGAGGGGTGGTTACACCCTGCCGCGTAGCTACTGACACCGGCGCAATGAGGGGGGGGGGGGGTCAACGGCCGATGGGAGCGTTCGACCGAAGTCCATTTCAGGAGGAAGGAGGGAGGGAGGCAAGGATAAATATAGAGCGAATGAATAGATGGTGGAAGAAGTAAATGAAAATTAAGTACGCATAAATAAAACGATCGTGAACTAATGCTGAAAACTGAACTCTCTTCAGGTATAGAAATAACATTAATGGTTCAGCCCGCGTTCGTGGAACGCTAATGTTCTACAAGTCCTATGCAGGTACCGCCCAGAGCCCAGCTTTTTCAATAACGGTAAAGCATGTCGTAAAAACAAGGGACAAACGTTGTAAAAAGTAATGTAGCTCGAGTGAGCCCTTCTATGTCCATAAAAGCCTTTCGTTCAATTTCACCAGAGTACTCTTATATAACCAAAGCAATAAGAAACGAGATATCGGGCGAACTGTCCAGCCTAGACTGAATGTTTCACCTGTACGCCAATTCGGTACAAGACCATCGCAGAAAATCCTAGCAACGTGAAGCAGCGATGCTTTTAATATTCAGCTAGTCCAGTGTTTTCTTTCAGCTGATATGCAATTAATCATCAAAAACGCAGCTCAAGTCTAACTACATCGTCTAGCCTCCATGGATCATTTTCGCGTTTAATCAGAGTACGTTAAAAATCAAATATCGTGACGTACGTCACGATATTTGATTTTACGGCAAGCATTAGATGGCTAAAGTACAAGCCACTGAAGCAATAACCAGTTGCAGCAAGTACCAATGTTGTATCAATAACAATGAAACTTATCCACCGGTCACTGCGTTCAAATTTCCCACTAATGACTGATCTGCCCGTGTCACACCACTACAATCCATGCGCATTATGTAACCATACCTTTACATCTCTCACCCACGCCTCACTCACTTGATACTAGTGAAGACCTGTGACACGATGGAGCGCATCTCCTTCTGCGCAGCCACCATGCGGTCAAGATTGGCGCGCTGTTCGGCGGATTTTCGGCGCCGCTCCTCCTCGTCTGCTTGCTGCTGCTGCACGGCCGCCTGTACCCGCTCACTGAGGTCCTGAGGGGGGGGGGGGGGAGATAGTGAGGACGTGCTGCTGCTGTACGGCCGCTTGAACCCGCTCGCTGAGGTCCTGAGGGGAGGGGGAAGAATGGTGAGGTATTGGTGTTCGACCGACTGTACCCGCTCACTGAGGTCCTGAGGGGGGGGGGGAGGGGGATGATGAGGACGTGGTACTGAACGGCCGCCTGTACCCGCTCACTGAGGTCCTGAGGGGGGGGGGGGGAAGAGGACCTGCTGCTGCACGGCCGCCTGTACCCGCTCACTGAGGTCCTGAGGGGGTGGGGAAGGAGAGATAGTGACTGCTGCTGCTGCACGGCAGCCTGTACCCGCTCACTGAGGTCCTGAGGGGGGGGGGAGAATGGTGAGGTATTAGTGTACGGCCGACTGTACCCGCTCACTGAGGTCCTGAGGGGGGGGGGGGGGAGAATGGTGAGGTATTAGTGTACGGCCGACTGTACACGCTCACTGAGGTCCTGAGGGGAGGGGGGGGGGGGAAGAATGGTGAGGTATTAGTGTACGGCCGACTGTACACGCTCACCGAGGTCCTGAGGGAGGTCAGGGGGAGAAATAGTGAGACGTGCTGCTGAACGGCAGACTGGACACGCACACTGAGGTCCTGGGAAGAGCGACGGTAAATGAGTTAGTTATGTATTGCTGAACGGTCGCCTGCACCCGTTCATGAGGTTCTGGGGGGCGGGGGTCACCAAGGTCAGATGAGGGAAGGGAGCAGATATGATATAGGGTAGGTTTCTGAAGTTTTGTGGCCCAAAAGCATGCTGAGCGACAATCATACAAAGTCAGCTCGTCCAATAGACACTCACCCACACCGTCCATCCCTCCTTCTCCCTCATCAATCACCCCGCCCGTACCTTGGCATCGAGCTGCTGCTGCTGGCGCATGTTCTCCTGCTGCTGCCGGAGCTGCTGCTCGCTGCGCTGCCGCTGCATCGTGCGCTGCTCGTGCTGCTGACGACTGCGCCGCTGCTGTTCAATGGCCAGCTGTCGCTGACGCTGCTCGTGCTGCTCACGCAGACGGCGCACCGTCTCCTCAGCAGCTGCCAGTCGCGCGCGAGCCGCCGCCTGTCGGGGGTTCACATGGTGAGCAGTGCGTGGATTGAGCGGAGTTTGGGGAGCCACGACTACAGAGCTTGGTGCTGAAAGGCCTAGCTAACTTGGCACGTGCGTGTCCTGATATAATTGTTTTGTGTTTAGTGGTATGTCATAATGTATAATTAGATGTATAAGCTGAGAAAATATGGTACACCAATGGGGATAGATATTGCTGGGACACAATGCTTGAATCTGACACATGAACAAATTGTCCAGATACATTTCACTTAGGATAAAGAACCTCAAACCTTTCACGCCATTGATACTTTGTCTACAGATCAGCCCAACAAGCTCATCTGACAAAGCATATCACGGGTGACGAGCAGACATTCTCACTTCTCACATGCTTGACACAGAACGTAACCGCAGGCTCACGTGGAAGGAGAGAATCTACCGCTCGTTGGGACTTTTGTTTGTCACGGACGCCCCTGAGCCTCCGCCATCTACCCACCTTGGCCTGCTCCAGATGTCGCTGCCTCTCATCGTGGATCAATTTGTCGAAAGTCCTCGGCGTAAACGGGGTGGGTGTCGAGCCATGTCGCGGGGTGCTGGTCCTCTGCTTCTGCTTCTCCTCATCCACGCCCCTCTCAGGGCTCTGATCTTCCTCCCTGCTCCGCTGGAAACTCGTCTCGATATTCCTCCGTACAGTCTGTTCATTGTCTTTCTCCACGTTGCGCTTAGATCTTTCCTCTACCCCACTTTCATTCCTCCCATCTGGAGATTTCGTCGCGGAGCCGACACTGGCGGAGCTCTGTCGGGTGGGTTTACTGACAGAGCCGGAAGCGCGCGGAGACCAGGGTCCGCGGCAGGTCATGCGAGTGACCCGCGGGTGCAGAGGCGTGTTGCCGTCCTCTTCGTCGGAAGAAGCGAGACCGAAGCTCGGCGGTGAGGAATAGTCGGCCGGTGAGCGCGGCACGGCCACGCGCACTTGGAGGGACTCCATTTCGGAGTGAATCTCATCCAGAACGTCCTGAGCCACGGATAGAGCACGGTTAACGAGGTATTGGCGATATTCGGACGGGGCACGTGGAATCAGTCACGGACAGGGTACGAGTTGTGAGACACGGGCAGGACACGTGCAACGGAACATCGACAGGCGGTACGGATGTCGCGAGACATCATCATACCTAAGGGACACACACAGAGCACTCGACAAAATCAGGTGATCGCGAACTAAACAAAGATCTGGTCTTCCACAAACTTTCCACAAACTAAAACAAAACAAAACATGTGAATGGTGATGCTTGCAAAACCGTTACGCTAAAAATAAAAACGCATTTAAAAACATGAAACGTCAGAAACTTTTGATCCACATTTCCATTTCTATTAATTACCTCAAAGGACTGCAGGCAGACCCTATGTCGATCATACTTCAGGCGGCCTCGCGGCGTTCGCTGCAGCTGCTCAGTGACGCTCATACTGCCACCTGGAGGCAGAAACAAGAAACACTGTTACCCTATAATAGGCACAGCTGCCCAATACAATTACAGACTACAGCAGGACAGAGTGGGGCCATTGGGGTAACGGAGGCCTTCGGTGGAGTTATTGAGGGCTTATGAGGAATTTACATCGCTCTAACTGATCCAGGGATCCCGCTCTCACTGAGCTCATTTTGGGGTAGGTGTATGCTGGGCTCTTAGGGATAGGGGATGTCAAACATAATACCAACCAAGTGCTTGTCCAGCCGGGTCTTGAACTGGTCGACAGACTGTGCCATGAACGCTGCATTCAGGAACAAAATCCAGTTCCTTATGCCAGTGAAGCAGAACACGTTTCTGCGCATGAGTTTGGTGGAGCTGGATTTCCGGAGTTTTTCCGGAGGGGCCACTAGTTTGAGCCGAATCGTTCTAAGTCAAAAAGATTCCTGGTGACATAATCAACCCTTTGTGCAGCAGCTGATATATCCCAGCCAGCAATTTGGTTTGGCTGAAGTCCATTTAGCTCCGGCAACTCTGACACCCCAGATTTGGGCCGATGTAAACGGAACGCCGCCGGAACAGGGTCGATATGGCTTTGGTCGATATGGCTCTATTCTGGCTAGCCAGTCTTAGCCGTAGCACTCCTTAGTTGGCATGGTTTTGGACCGCCAAGTCCGGTTCGAGTCTGGCTCCCTGCCAAGGCGTGCTACGGCCAGGTCCGGCTGTCTCGTAGCGTAGCTGCTCTGGCTTTCACTTCACCTCAAGTGCCGTACCTCAACCATAGGTACTTCAGCCACAGTAGTACAGCTGAGGTATGGCATGGCTGATGCAGCAAAGTCCGGCTGTGCTACGGGAAAGCTCTGGATTGTATGTCAGCTGCAGTAGAGCTCCAGTAGACCTTGCCCGTACTTTGGCTGGAGTAAGTGCTGGAGCTAGCCAGAGTAAAGCCGGATACAGCCCAGCGAGGCCAATTGTTGTGGCTGGGATGGTTACCTAGTGTTACCATGTCACCTCTGCATCTTCAATAGTTTACATTTGACAGTCCCAATCAAGGAAGTCAGCTTTCAGGGCATGAGAGGTGTTTGTTTGACTGTTGTGACCATTCTTGTTGCAGGTCATTGCACTCACTACAGCCTCTTCTCTTTTGGCATCCTATAAGAGGGATCAAAACATGGTCTTGTATGTTGTATGGTGTTGTATGGTAACAGGTCAGGTTCCAATTTGAAATAGCTAGATCGCTTCACATAACGCTGAACTACTAACACTAACATAGAGTTCAAGATTCTTCATCAACTTATCAACTTCTCCCTCCTAAGGTTATTCCTCCCTGGCAATTTCCTCCCTGCGCAATTTCCTTACCTTGGTATCTCCTTACTCCTTCCATTGTCACCCGCTTAGTACCGCTTAGTACCGACACCTTGGTACCGAACAAGAAAGGACGTGACTACTAGTCAAGAGAACGACTACAGTGAAGTTGGACGCTTGGGTCGCAAGGCTACGTGTCCTATTCCAACAACAACAAGAACATGGTGTTGTATGGTCTTGTATTTTTTTATGAATTCAGTTAGACCCTTTTGATTGGAAAGATTCACAAGGACAAGCCCCCGCTGAGTGAAGCTTATTGCGTTGACCCTGCCCTCTACCCTACGATCGCGCAATCTTGGTTATATGGCTGAATTTAGAGTCCAAAGTTTAACATATCATCATCAGGGAAGACGCTCAGCCTTCGTACTTCATTATCTTCCTCAGACAAGAACTCAACTTTGGCTGGTGTGTCTAGGATTCAGGGTTCCTGTTCCTCATATCCACTTCTCACTTCCTTCCTGACTTCCTAAATGACACTGGGAACCCAACCAGGTGAGTTGACCAGGTGAGTACTGAGTATATGCACATAGCAGCGCACCACCGGTGTCCTACTCACAAAAGATTGGCAAGACTGGCAGAATGAATAGTAATCTTACTACTCACTCACAATTCACAAAGTCCTTATAGGGTACGGAGAGCTGGTAACTTCGTGAAAAAATGCAAATCTTGGTCCTTGGATCTGTCAATGAATTCAAATTATCATTATAGGCCAGTTATCTGGCTCATATCATCACATGAGACTGAACGAACAATTACCACTTTCCTAGGTTAAAGGGACCCTCCCACCTTCAAAAAAGTTAATGAATTGGCATGAAAGTGATGTCGCTCGGTTCAGAAAGAGCAAAAACGAATATCTACCAAATTTCATCGAATAATATTCACCGGTTTTCAAGATATTAGACTTTTACTTTTGTTTACTTTTTGGGATCTCCGCTGTTCCTAGCGACTTTATTTGAAAGTGCGGCATTTGTTGCGCGCAAAGCAGCATATACCACCGCGTGCTACAAAACGTTTTAGTCAAACGTTTAACGGACGTTCGAAAGCCTGATGACGTCATCAGATTCCCGTAATGGTTAAGAGATAGGGACCACGCTGGTCCCACCCTGCAAGTAAAGGGAAGAAATTTCTTGAACACCATAAAGCTGCGGGGGTTGCGACCAGGATAAATGGTGGTTTCTGAGCCTGGCCGCAAACTTGGCTATCTCAACTCAAAACTAATGTTAAGGTGGGAGGGTCCCTTTAAAGATTTAGGTTTAATAGCTTCATTTTACCTAATTATAATTAAATTCGCGCATATCCCAAGTTATAAATACCTTTTTTCTGTATTGGTATGCTCAAGGCGGTATGCTTTCCACTCTATCTTTCACACGCGTTGGTGCACTCCGCCAGATACGTCTAAGCTGCGTAGGAAATGAAGCATATTTACGTCTGGACAACGAGTTGCGGGGAAAAGTGATGATTTTGTCGCAGTTTTAGGAGTCGGTGATTAGGCTGGTTTTTTGGGTTACTTTTTCGCTCCGATTCCTGTATTTCATAGTGTTTGGCTTTTGAATATTTTAGTTCTTTCAGAGAAATATTACTTGCCTTACAGATTTTGTAAAAATGTTTCAATTTTTATAAGCCGAACGTTAGAGTCCTAAAACAATACATCAGTACTACTATTATTGTAAACAAACAAACGGAGCACCACTTGGCTCTGTTCCAAGGCCTTTTTCGAGTTCATCTGGAGGTTTTCGTACTCGTGTACTCGTGTACGTTTTGTTGGATGTCTTAAATCTCTTGTGATTGACTTATAGCATATTAAAGAAGCATGTTGACTGAAAACAATCCCAAGTATCCAGGAGGAGGCTAAGAGAGGTCCTGATCGTCCTGAGCAAGATCAAGTTGAAGTTATGAAATGTTGGTTGATAAACGCAGGTTGATCTGGCTCACTTATCAGCAATAAAAGTAAAATTAAAAGAGCTTATTGGCTAAAAACAAGCCATATTATTGCAGGAGATCAATACTGAAGAGTACGCCGAGCAGTATCAAGCCAGAAAATGTTTGCTGATGATGATTGCATATTGTCTATTGATGTATTGGGATGAATAATTAATTATAACTTATAACAGCAAGATTATAACTATGAAGCGCTGACTATGAAGTGAAAAAATCTAGAATGAGCGAACTCAGGCAGCTTTACTTTGCTATGCAGATGGTAATGTGCATTACTCAAGTGTCTGGCAAATGAAACTTTGCATTTCTTGAAAAAGGATTTCAGTAAAATTGTGAATGTGACAAGCCATGCAACGATATGATCATATAATACGTGTTAATAGTCATTCGTGACAATGATCTTTGGTCCAATATACAATAGCAAAGCTCTCAGCGCTTCTTTCTGTGGATGGCCAGAAGTGTGACTCAGGATTTAGAAGTATTAGTCTTCTTCACAGGGATGTTATAAAATGTACTGGAGGGTTATCTTCCAGCAAGGAACTTTATTTTGAGTTGGTATGAGATGTAGGCACAAGAACTTAGGTGCTTAGTGCCTATAGTTAGTAGTTGTGTAGGTTTAGTTTGGTCAGGTTAGATTAGGTTATGCTAGTTTTTAGTTAATTTGCCAGGTGTCCATAAAAAATGTGACCAGGGCGGTGTTTCACGGGATGCTGCTACCACGCTGCTATCCAATTGCACGAACTGACGTCACACTTGTGGTAGTGTTGGAGCAATGGGCCTGTTGATGTTTCCATGGAAACCCAATTTGACACGTGTATAAGCAGCGTGCTGCTATCACTGGTGAAACAGGGCCCTGACTAACCTAACCTAACCTCAATCATCACACATATTTGCAATCTACTCATAGCAGAAGCACCCAGTTATATGATAGATACTCACCATGACTCAATCTTACCTGCTAACAACTTAAAAACAGCTCGCGTCAAGCCGTTGCCAAGTTAGCTCACCTTTGCCAAGCCGCATCCATGGAAACAGCCAAATGAGGAACTGGCTCATTGGGTGGCTGGTGTCAGTCTGTGCATTGAAAGTGTTTCTTCTCTGAAGCTGCTCTGCACTGCTGTATTGCCATGTTAGATGCTCAGAAAATGTGGGAAATGATAATTGAGATACTTTAGTGCTTTGTTCATGCTCCAGACATCAACAAGTACAAATTCTGCAGGGTACACCTATGAGCTAGGTGAGTATTTTATGTGAATGTGATGTTTGACTGTAGTAAATACACAAACAAACACAGGGTCACAGTTATATTCAATCTCCACATAAACACAACAAAAACGCCCAAAGCCTCACTCCGCGAGCACACCACAAATAACGCAAGCCTTTGCAGGCACCAAAATGCTTTGATTTACAGGATAGGTATACTTTTTATATCCTTTATCCTCTGGGATCTTGCTGCCAAGTTGAAGTAAGATGACTGAACTTCAGTATTTATCAACCTTTTCTTCTTATAGCCACTGCTATACGAGAATGACTAAATGCTTGGTTTGATTGATTAACTGCCTTGAAAATTTAATGATCGATCTTCAATTCTCAATGAAGGCACAAATAAAATAGTTTCCTCTCCTCTTGGAATACACAAAACAAAATATTTAATAACTTCTTAGTGGATGGACGAGAGCCTGATGCATGTTCGCTTCATATTTTGTAA